TGATCAGGGAAATGCTAATAGCTCAATAGTATGTTCTTTATGTTGACATTGTCCAACTCCAATAAGACTCAAAATAAACAAATAAATATTGATAATCTTGTAAGATACGTTACATACTAACATACACAACTTCAATAAATAATCTAGACATCCTATCTTTGCAAAGTGACTATTCCATGCTACCTGGTGACGTATTTTTGCAACCTATGCAACCCCAAATCTGTCTGAAGTGAAACAGTACTTCAAAATATAATTAAACATAAAATGATACCTTTTACAAAAATAGTTTTTAACTTAGCAGGAAGGAATGAAACTTATTTTACTTATACCCTGCCATGGGTCCCCTGATAACAGTCATGAACCCACAGCACAGAAGAGTGAAGAATCATGACCTCATGTTAAGAGACTTTATAACTTAAAATATCTGTATTTAATTCATAAGTAATACATAACTTGTTATGAAAAATTCAAACAATATAAAATTACATATAGCAAAATGTACAGTTCCCCTTTATTCCTGCCCAAATTCCACTATTCCTATTCATTCCCAAATTGTTTGGGGTTCATGTAAACTTCTTGTATAGATTTATATATATGTATATTTTTACATACATAGTTATGCATATATTTGTGTGTGTGTGTGTGTGTGTATGCCTTAAATAAAAATATACAAAACATTTTTCTTGAACTGAAATATATCATGTAGGCTTACATTCAGGTCTATCTCATGAAAGTTATTTCATAACTTTCATTGGGTTATCATTGTGTTCAGTCATGTTCTTATTAGTGAACATATAAAGGCCATTTTTGTTGCTATTTCAGTGTTTCAGTGGGTCTCTTTGTAAAGGTATCTTATCTACACATACGTATGTAATTTAGATTCCTAGAAACAGAAACGCTGAATTGAAGGATAAATGAGTTTCATATTTTTATATATCTGGACAAATCATCTTCCCAGTTAACGTCAAGTCATGTGACCACAGAACGGATATTAGACAACTTGAGATCTTCCCGGTCTTGTTATCTTCTGTCAATGCATTTATAAAAAATGTTTTCTCATTTGTTTCTTTCATTTTCCCCTTACATCTGCCTTATAATTTTTGCTAGAACTGTCAAATATAATTTAGGAAACTCAAAATGAGTAGGAAAGTCTATTATATTCACTCGTATTTTTGCTTCCTGTGTCCTTTTTTCCTTCTTGATATTCGTATGCTCCTTCTTTTATCATTTTCTTTTTTTCAGAAAGCTTCTTTGGCCATACTTTCCAGGTAGATTTACTTGTGATTAATTCTCTGTTTTCCTTTATCCAATAACGTTTTGATTTCCCCTTTATTCCCAAAGGATATCTTCCCGGGTACAAGATTCTCAGATGAGAGTTCCTTCCTTTCATCACCTAAAAAAATATTTGTAGCCTCTTTCGGGCTTCAATGATATCTAAAAAAATCTACTCTCATTCTAATTGTTTTGCCTTCATAAGACATCATTAATTTCTGGATGCTTTCAGGATTTGTATTTAGTTTTTAGAAGTTTATGCATTATGTGTCTTCATATGGACATCTTTGGATTTATCATGTTTGGGAATTCAACTTCTTGAATCTGTAGTCTTATGCCATTTGCAAAATTTATTAACATTTCAGCCATTATTTTCTCTAGTTTTTTTAGCTTCATACCCTTCCCCCTCTATCTGACACTCTGACTATTTCCCAGGCCCCACCACCAATCTATTCATTCTCTGTTGCTCACATTGAGTAATTTTTGTTGTTCTGTTTTATGGTTCATTGATTCTCTTTTCTATCTTCTCCATTTTTTTGTTGTTCCACCCATACACTGAGTTTTCATTTCAATTACTGTATTTTTAGGTCTAAAATTTTGATTTGGTTTCACTTTATAGCTTCTATTTCTTTGCTGAGGCTTTCTAATTTCTCATTTGTTTCAAGCATATGTGTAATTGCTCACTGAAGCAAATTTATCATGGCTACTTTATAGTCTTTGCCAGATACCTAACATTTTTGTCTTTCCCTTTGAGATAGAGACTTGCTCTGTTACCCAGGCTGGAGTGCAGTGGTGTGATCTGGACTCACTGCAACCTCTGCCTCTTAGGCTCAAGAGATCCTACCATGTTCGTTTTTCTAGTCGCTTGGAACACAGGTGGATGCCACCTTGCCCAGCTAATTTTGTATTTTTTTGTAGAGACAGGGTTTTATCACGTTGCCTGGGCTGGTCTCAAACTCCTGGGCTCAAGCGATCTGCCTGCCTCAGCCTCCCAAAGTGCTGGGATTACAAGGTGTGAGCCAACACTCCTGGCCTCATCTTTGCCATTTTGATGTTGCCATCAGTTGATTGTCTTTTTCCATAATTATTGAACATTTATGGTTCTTTGTCTGATTTCTGGTTCTTTGTATGATGAATGTTTCTTGGTTGAAGCCTAGACATATAAATATTATTTTATTAGAGTCTGGCTCTTATTTAAACGTTTTTGGTTTTCTCTGACATTGCTCTGCTTTGTCAAGGGAAGGTGCTATCTTCTGTCTGTTTCTTGATCACTCTCTATACAGGCCTGTGAGGGGACAGGCTTCTCCTTATTGCTGGATGTCCCACCTGTAAGCATGATGTCCACTGACACGATGGTGGGAGTGGCCTCATAACTGCTAGGTGATGTTGAAAATATTGACTGTCCTCTAAGTCTTCTCTAAAACCATCCCAGTAGGGAGGAAGGGTATACCTTGTTTCTGCAGGGAAAGGGTAGAATTCCTGGCTCTCTATGTGGTCTTCCTGGCACTGGGAGGTATGAGGCTCACTATAGGATGGTGGGGCATGAAAATCCAGTTCATTGTTTGTCCTTTCCTGGCACCATCTTGAGTTAGGTGTGATGGTACTTCAATACCACCTCGTAAGACTGGAAGTCTGGGCTCTCCATCTGGGCTTTGCTGTCTTAAGTGGGATTGCATTTCTTCCTGCAGTGTTGGACTGGAGTAGAGAAGTTGTCTAAAGCTTTTCTGTCTTGCTAGGCTTCCCCTTTCCTAACCTCTAGAGAATGTTAGATTTGCTAGTGAAATTTGGCTTTTGTTGGGACTTTGTTTTTTGTCAGTACCTGCTGATGTTGCCATGTTGCCAGTTTCTTCATCTTCAAGTCTAGGGTATATGAAGTAAAAGGAAAAAACTGGAAATTCACCTCCACATTGTTTCTCAGGTTCCAAGATCCTTACCCAGCCTGTGCTTATGTCCAGCACTGGACATCTCCTTAAGTTTGTTATATGTAGTGTGTCCAGGGTTTTTAGTTGTACTTAGCAGGTAGAATAGAAAAAAGTATGTCTGTTCCATCTTCCTAGAAGTGAGATTCTTACTATCTTTTGATATCTAGTGGTGGGGCGAGGGAGCAGGGAGATTTTTGGTAATTTTTTTAAAAGGTGCAAAATTTTCTTACATAGACCTGGAATTCACCATTAATTTATTCATTCATATGAGAATATAGGGCTTATCAGTGATGGAACCTGAAATCTTCCTTTGTGTCATATGTAGCAGTTAATCACTCAAGATTATATTACTACATATTAGTTGTTTTTCAGAATTCTGATGAAAGGATCTATTCACAATAGAGTGATGTCATCCTGTCACTTTTAGAAATCAAATCAATAAAAGTATGAAAAAAATCTGTTCACATGAAATAGGTAAATGTGAAAAGCAGACATAGTACATTGGGATGCAGAGATGAAGAGTAGACATGGAGTAAAGCATTATTTATAAAACCACTTTGCAGAAAAAAATTTTCAAAATCAGTAAGCTGTTAAGATTACATTTTAGAATCCTACTCGTTTATGCCTGATATTGGGCATATGAACCCCAAATCAAATGTCCCCATTCCTGATGAGAAGAAAAGTTTACAAAAGAGAAGAGAAGAGAGAGAGAAAATAGAATGATTTAAATTTTAAGCCTAAGACCTCAATATTAAGCCTACCTTGATGCCTTTTAAAACTTGTTACTGGAGATAAAAGTATTTAAATATTTGGCTCTTGCTAGAAGTCTAACATATTCTCCCTCTCCTAAGAAACATAACATGAATTCTGTTCTTATGTCCTGTTCTTCACAATTGAACAAAATTAGAAAAACAATTATGGAAAATTTTTAAATAATCACTTCATTTTAGAAGATTTTTTCAGATGTGACAAAAATCATCAAGTATATCCTGTAAGTAGCTATTTACTGACTCTAAATTTCTTTAATATTTAATGAACTGCTGAAGTTACATGTATCCTAGAGTTCAACTGTCAAATTTTTTTTATTAATGTTTATGGTTTAGTAGTAATTATTATTCAATATTGGTATTATTTTTTAAATGCTATATGCTCTTTTGATAAGTCAATAATGAAGAACATAAATGTAAATAGGATCTTTTCCAGGGATCATGATAAAGGTTTTGTCATTCACCTTCACATAATATAGTGATTTTTTTCTTTCCTGCCTTGTTCAAAGTTTATCAACAAATCACCACTTTGCAGCATGTTAGAAAGGATGAAAATTGAACAGCTAGGGCAAACATGCAAAAGAACGACCAGAGAAGCTCAAGGATATTTAAAAAAAACATATACCAGAAAAATAATCTATGTAAAATGTATCTCAGATGAGCAAACCTAAACATTTCTTAACATATATATATTTGAAGAAGACACATATACATAAAAATATTACCACAATGTATGATTCTGATGCCTTTCACTTTGCCTTTAAGATTCTTGACAACCCGGCTGATATTAAGAATCACCAGGACCATTTGTTTTAAAAGTGGATTTCCAAGAATTATTTATATAGTTCCTGAATCTAGGACTTGGGTCTGTTACTATTGATCAGACATATTTGGGAAAGGGTATATTAGAGGAACTGAAGTGCAATAATGATAGCACTTGCTCAAAAATTTCAAAACTGTCACCAAACCAACCAACCAACCAACAAAACTCCATGATATTCTATTTCACTGAAATCGGCAATTTAAGTCCACGACTCACCTTATTGAATAAAGAACATTTCCATTTTTGAAAATTCTTAGCAATTTGTTGTCTGTAGTGACTTCATGAAAGTTGGCACCCTTTTCATTGGCAAAGAATAAATCAGGTTTCCAAATGGAGTCCAACATGGAGGGGTCGAGGTCTAAAGAGTCGTCAGGATACTCACTGTACGCGAGGCGGGGATCATTCCATTTCTGGCGAAGAAAGATATTCACTCTGTAATCCTATGATAAAAGAACAAAAGAAAGAAAAAAAACCCTGCTTTAAAAAGTTTAGAACCCATAGTGTCAATGTGGTGCCAATGCAAGCTCATCAACTGTAGAAAATGTATCCTTCTTGAGGATAGGTTGCATAGTTAATTGAGGAGGCTATACAAGTGTTGGGACAGAGGGAGGATGGAAATCTCTGCACCTTCTTCTTAATTTTGCTGTCAACCTAAAACTTCTCTAAATAATAAAGTCTTATAAAAAAGAGTTTTGGATCTTATGTACTGTTCTTTGGGTTTTTCTGAATTATAACAGGAATCAATGACATTCTTGGGTACTTCCATCCCCCAGGATCCTCACTGATTACCACCTAGAAGAGTCATCCTAGTTCTGAGGTTTTGGCCATATGCCTTTAGTGACCTATATGCCTCCAAAGAAAAGACCACAATTTATCATATTTAAAACTTGTTATTCCATTCAAATTTTACTTTCCTGCTTTGTCAGAATAAAATGCTGGAATGCTATTAGATACTTAGAGAAATATATTTTCATCTTTGCATTTATTTTTAGAATAATTTCTTTTAGTAGATATCCAATAACATCCAGAATATGTTTAGCGAACTTGTCTTAAAAGCTCTCTGTGTTACAAAAATGACCATATACACTTCTTCACAATGAAAACTCATTTTCTCATGTTTAACATAGCATGTAAGTTCTATGAAATAAGTAATTTAAGAAAAATAAAGCTGATTTTAGAATAATGAAAGAATTATAAAGGACAATTATTGTCAATAATACTTCAAGAAAATTTGGCTAATGAGATTTCCCAATTAGATCTTTCATAGTTAATTTTAAAAGGAGTCAATGATTTCAACCAAATTCTTGCTCACAATTTTGGACTAATGTGTAGAATGACAAATGTTGACAGCTGAGTATATGTGTAGTGTTTGTATATACACAGTATATAAAAATAAGTACCACATATGTCTTTATAAATACTTTTTTCTAGATTTCTGAAATGAGCCAATAAAATAAATATAGATCTCATTGTAAGCATGATCAAAGCAAACATTTGAAGACCACTGCATTTGCATGCAAAATAGTCAAGGCTGAAGATACTCATAAGAACTGAAAGTCAGTTTTCATCTATTTTTCTATTTCTTGAATACCAAATTATGAGACATCAGAATGTAGTAACCAGGCAATCACAACAAATGCTTTAATGATATCAGAGCAGGTAGATTGCTTATGTTATCGGTAGATCGAAGTCAGAGTTTGTACTGAATGTTACACATCTGTACCTTGATCAATATTTGTACCCTGAGACTATCTTCTAACTGCAACTAAGGTTACATACCAGAAAATATTTTTTCTGCTTGCTGGCTGCCCTAGGTATCTTCCAAAGTGACAATGGAGCAAAGTTCACTTCAACTTTTCACCAGAAAGTTAACGAGATTGTGGAAATCTCACCCGCCACAAGGATCTACAGAACCTGTAAATGGGGATATGCGAACAAGCTTCTACCAGCCTAAAACAGTTCATCTTCTCTTAGCCTGTAGTCCAGGGCACCAGGAAGCACAGCTGCATGGTTGGTGGCCAGTTCTTGTTTCCTTTGCTATTCTCCAGTGTGTGCCCTCAATACCACTAAAGGAATCAGTGATTGACCAAATCAGTCTCTCTCTGCTTTATAGACAGGAGTTATAATCATACCTGCCAGGAAAGATAACTGACTAGTAAAGAATTTACATTTGTACTTATTTATAAGACTCATAATCAAGTTGTTTGAAGCATTTTTTGCAGTCACATTTCTTGATTTAGAACTCTCTGCAACTGTTCACCACCCTTAGGCTAAAATAAAAGTACTCTTTAAGTTGCAGTATATGTAATAAAATTTGGGAGAATCTCTTTATCCTTATGTTATTAGTACTAGTGATAAACTTTACAGATACATTTTCAGTTCTTCCGGGAACACTTTTTGCTCCAAATGTGAACTAGAAAAGATGTTAAGTATCTTTCAGTTTCTGTTTCTAAGTAATACAAGGAAAAAACAACAGTCACCTGTCACCAAGGCCAAATGTTGTGATGCTCTATACCCATTGTGATGCTCTCTCTGAAATATCTCTGTCTCTTAATACATTTAGTTTAGGAAAGTAAGAAGCATATGAGGCCACTGGATGCCATTGTGAAAATGTGTAAAGAAAGGAGTAAGTAACCTGACCGCCAAAATAGTACCACCCTAAGAGAACTCACGACAGCATGGAAAATATGATTTTCTGATCTATTGTACTGCATGGTAAGTACAGTCAATAATGTATTATATATTTCAAAATAGCTAAAAGAATAAATTTTTGACATTCTCACTCCTAAATTATATTAAGAGGTGAGATGATGAATATGTTAATTAGCTTGATTAAATCTTTCTATACTTTGGTTCAGGGCCAGGGTTCAAAGCAAAACAAAAATAATGATGTCCTGAAAACTTTAGAAACTAAGATTTTACTACTCCTTACAGTTTTGGTTTTGCTTTGCCTGCAGATTAGCATTAAGATGTAAAGTTATTAAATAACCACATTCAGCATTTTGAAAATGGTTTTTTAAGGCTGATTCTTCATAGCCACAGTATCCCATTGTACCCAGCAACCAACTATATTAATTATTTTTGAATTTTGGCCATTTGTGAAAATGTGTAAAGAAAGGGGTAAGTAAACTGACAGTCAAAATAGTACCACCCTAAGAGAAGTCCTAGTAACTAGACTTGAAATAACTTGCCTGTAATAAAATTCCCTGGAGTGAAGAAGAAAAGGGCCTTGTACAACACATTTTGTATATGGCAAAAGGTTAAATTACATCTCAACATGACGCTACTCAAGGTGACTTGGAGTGAATTAAAAGTTCAAATATGATGGGTAAAAATTTTTTTAAAAGGAAATTTAGCAGAGTATGTGGCCTTGAGGTAGGGTAAATTATTTAAAAATCACAATAATATTGATCATAAAATAAAGGTTAATAAATTCTGTGATGTCAGAATTAAGAAATTCTGTTCCTCCAAAGGTCACTTAAGGATAATGAAAACATAAATTATACTGCAAGAAGGTGTTTGCCACATATACAACTGACAGTTGATTATTAACATGCTTTAAAAGATTTCATAGCGGTAATTGAGAAAAAGAGAAAAATCTGAGTAGAAAAAATGGCCAAAACAATCACAACATTTTACTAGGCAGGCATTGCAAATATCCAATAAGTATCTGAAAAAATGTTTAACCACATTAGTAAACAAAGAAGTGAAAATTAAGATATTAAGGAGATACTATGTTATATTTACTGGGCCGTTAAAAATAAGACTTTTGATGATATCAGAATTTGTCAAAAATACAAGGCAAAATAATGCTTTATACATTGCTGTGAAAAGCATAAAAAGATGGAAAAAAAAATGGCCAGATACAGTGGCTCATGCCTTTAATCCCAGCACTTTGGGAGGCCAAGGTGGGTGAATCACGAGGTCAAGAGATCGAGACCATCCTGGCCAACATGGTGAAACCCCATCTCTACTAAAACCACAAAAATTAGCTGGGCATGGTGGCATGCGCCTGTAGTCCCAGCTACTTAGAAGGCTGAAGAAGGAGAGTCAGTTGAACCCAGGAGGCAGAGGTTGCAGTGAGTTGAGATCATGCCGCTGCACTCCAGCCTGGTGACAGAGCGAGACTCGTTTCAAAAGTTTAAAAAAAGATGGAAAAATTAACATTGTAACATAAATTTGATATGTGCATACTCAGGATACAAACATTTTGGCTCAAAATACAAAACTTAAAGAAACCTTTGTGTTTGTGCAACAGAAGACATATACAAAAGTATTTATAGCAACACTGTTAGCTCTAATGAAAAACCAAACCAAACCAAACAAAAACCTGGAACCAACAAATATCCATTGGCAGAAAAATGCGTGAATAAACTGTGCCATGTCAATCAAATCAAATATCTAGCAATGAAAATAAATTACCACTATTTCCAATGATGAGGACGAATCTTATAATTGTAAAACAGTATAAAGAAAAAAAGCAAATGCTGAGGATATAACGTATGGCACTATTTTTGTAAAATTCAAAACCAAGCAATTTCTCTCTTTCTCTCTCTCCTTATATATATCTTTACGTGTGTGTATGTATGTATGCATGTATGTGTATGTGTGTATATATGTATACATATCCATCAATACAGAATTATAACCACCAACTTTATGATAGTGATTACCTAGGGAAATGCTGGGGAATGAGACAGTGGATTATACAGGTATTTTTAATATTGGTAATGTTTTAGCTCTAAGTCTAGGTAAAGGATTCAATAATGTTTATGTTATTAAATTATACTTAATCACATATATATTATGTATGTAATTATATACCAAAAGAAATCTTGTTATCATAAGAATCCTTATAGCTGAAAGAGGAGAAAGAGAGTCAGTGCCAAAATGATGTGACGTGAAACTGACCGGGTATCTGCTGGAGGAAAAGGGTCAGGAAAGAACCAAAGAATGTGGGCAGCCTCTAGAAGCTGTAAAAGCAAAGGAATGGGTTTTTTCCTAGAGCCTCCAGAAGGAACACAGCCCTGTAGACGCCTTGAATTTAGTCTGGCAAAACACACTTGCCTCTGACCTCGAGAAGTGTAAGGTAATACATTAGTGTTGTTTAAGCCACTTGCAGTATAAATATTTTTAAAGTTTTCTGTAGGTTGTGTTTTTTTGACATCTTAAAAAACCCTTCTGGCTGAGGAGAGGCTACCTCTCCCAGTGCTAGTCAAATTTCAGAGATAGCAGAGGGCCCAGCCTGGGGCATGTCTTGAGTAAACAAACTAGTAAGCTCAGAATCTTCCCTCCTCTATCAGCCAGTGCACCCGGAAGACAGTGTTCCTGTGCCTTAGTCATCTCTGGGCTAGGAACCAGGCAACCAGAAACCATCTCAATAGCCCAAATCCTGGTAAAATTATTCAAGCTAGGCAACCCTAAATAAACTGTCCACCTT